CGTCGTGATTGTACCGCAATTATTGCCCTATTAACATTGGTTGGTGGCGTGATTATTAATTCCGTAGTGTTTGTGACACGATATTTACAGTTTGCTCGTGATCAGGAGATTCTCGGGATTTGTCGTCACCGTATCGCGCCATGGAATTAAGATTGGAGTGTTTTGTGAGCCGAGAACTGACGGTGTCCGATGGTCGTAAGCATGTGATGCTTGCTGGGAACCCTCACTCCCACAGTATGTCTGGAAATAATTTGCCCAATGCCGGGCCGGGGTTGAGTCTGGACACGTCGTGACGGGACCTCCGAGGATGGACCTTGGACCCCGACCACGCGTCGCAGTGAGTTCCCTCGCGGTCTCAGAGAAACCTCTTCATTGGAGATCAACGGAAATTTGCGTGTAGCGTGGAAAGCTCCTGAAGATCGGCCCGCGCTGCGTTTGTTGAAGAGCAGCGAGCCGATCACATGCCGCACCGCATCACCTGCCACGCAGTCTCCCCTACACTACCATGGTGTCGGTAATGGGCGCCAGTTTTGTCGCGGTCGTGAGGCCGCGTTTCCCTCCGCTGCGCGGCGCCGGCGGCCATCCGCCCGCTGCCCGGCACCGCCGCCGCTCGCGTACATGTCTGACCCGTGGTCCGTCTCGCTGGTGCCAGCGGCCCGACCGGCGCTGGTGCCGCTCTGGCCCGCCGCGTGCTGCCGCGCCCCGCGCTGCCCCACGTGGTGCCGTCACCAGGTCAGCCGTGACGTCACGCAGTCGTATTTCGCCGGCGGCACCGCACGCGCTCTGTGTGGCCGTGGCGCAGCCTCCATGGTTGGCTGGACTCGCTGTTGGTAGCGACTGATTGGCGTTTTAGAGACCGTCGTCACACTCGGACCAAAGGAGAAGTGTCTGTGTTGTGAAGGAGCTCGTGCGTTGTGTTGGATTTAATGTCGGCCACGCACGCCAGGCTCTCCACATCCGTTGTGATGGAAGGCTGAACAGGGATCATCAGATAGGATTTAAGCGAGGAACATGTATCGGATGTAATGCTAAAGGCAGGAAACAACTCCTTTACGTGGTTTAGGAGCTACAAAACTGCCCTATATATTTTTCATTTGGCATGAATCAAAGCATGCTTTATAACGATGTTTACTGGTAAGATTGTAGGCAATAGTTAACGATGACCTCTGATTTCGCGTAGCGTAATTTCATTTATGTTTCAATTACAAGTGCTTTGGTTGTTAATGGAGCCGTATATATTTGCCTGCCTGCACCAATGCTTGAAGGAGGAATAATTTTGAACTGACTTTGGAGCGAAAGTTACGTGAGGTGAGAAATGCTGATGTTTTCTGTTGGTGTTAACTTGTTAAAGTGTCGTGTTAATTGTTCCTTCCTTTTTAGCTCGTTTGCAGCATTGGGAATAGACGCAAAGCAAGCCTCCAATGAAAACATTTGCTGGTGCTTGCTTTGTTTCCTCCTAGCCTTCCTGCATACTTATGTTTAGCTGCCATGTAATCCTACGCATGAAGCTGTGATACGTTCTCATAAATGAGAACACTTGCAACCATTGTTCACCACATGCATATCTATAGTATGTGGCGTTAGCTTTTTACCGCTGCGGTGGGCGGCTCCTTTGATGTTGCCTTGACTGTCCTGGCCATCCCATTTATGACCGATGAAGTGGTGTCAGCAACATGCCACCATTGTAAGAAAGGTAAGCTCCTGCCAGCTGTGTTGTCTCGTCATGAGAAACGTCGTCTCCTTTGGCAGACCTGAACGTTCCTGAGTCACGAATGAGCTCGGAGCCACCACCGCCGCTGTCAGTGGTCCCATCTAGGCTCGGCCGTCGGAACTGCAACTTCCCGCCGGTGACGCGTCGAGCGTGGGGCGCGCGCAGCTTCGAGGCGTGATGGACTCGCGGGAGGTGACCGCCGCGCGCGGACGACTATGACCTCGCCGGCCGCGACTTTGACCCCGCGAGCTGCCGGCCGCCGGAGCGACGGCCGCCCTCGGCCGAGCTCTTGCCCGGTTGTGATACCTGCGATCTGACATTGCCGCCGCGCTGACCGGATTGGAGCGAAGCCGTCGCATCCCTCTCGGCCGGCGGCGGTGTTTTAGCGGCGCCCGCGCGCGCGCAGACGGACGGGCTGCCGCCGCTGTTGCTGCACGTGCGCCGGCCAAACGTTTGACCTGGGGCGGGCGGTGGCGGCGCGACTGGACCCGCGACGCTGGCCGAGCCGGCCCGGCCCACCGCCAGCCCTGCTCCGGCCGGCCGCGCGGTCTCCACCCACCAGTCTGTGTGTTTTGTAGAGCTCGTTTATGCGCGACGCCGGGCGCGGCGCAGCCTCGGCGTCGCGCGCATCCACTCATCCGCTTTAGGCGATTTTAGCGGCCTCGTGTTTTGTTTTACGGCGCGTCTGCCGGCAAATGTTTATGTGTGGCGGGCGCGCCCGCCGGTGACCGCGCACCTCGAACCTCCGACCCCGCCCCTCCCCCCAGTCTGATCACATCCAGAGCCCAGCGATCAATACAAATACAAGTGCCTGTTCACGCTCCAGCGCACCAGCAGCGGTTCACCGCACGTTCCGCCGCCCCGGCCTCCCCCCGTCCGGCGGGTGTCCCCGCGGCGGCGGGTCGGCACGAGTGGACGCGCTCGACGGGGGTGTGCCCAGCGTGCCGAGGTACACATACGCGCGCGCGCACGCCGCGGGTCGCATCCGCCCAGCAGTCCACTCATTTTGTTTATATATCTATATGTGTGCGTGTACAGAGCGACCGCGTACTACCCAGTGGAGAAGTGAACATGTTTTATGTCATGTCAATAAACCATGCGTGTTGTATCTGCGGGACTGGGAGGTTCTGCAGGATACCGTCGTGGCGCTTCACTTCAAATGGCAAAAGACACGGACGCCGTCGTTCGAGTGCCTTTTATCGCAGCGGTCTTCTCTGGAACCGTGCTGATGCGTCCAATCAACACCAGCGTGGCAGGATGTCTGCGATTTAAACACAGCGTATCGCTCTACTGTCAGTCGTAAATGAACCGTAAATACGTGGATAGACGCGAGGGATTCGCCACCAAGCCCCCGGCGGGCGCGCGCCGGACGCTGCGATCTGCCAGACGGAGGGTCCATCGCCTCCACATGTGACAGCCGGGGAGAACGCGGTGGTGACGGCGGGCGGCCGACGGTGGCGCCTGGTCGGACCGCATGCATTACATCAGCACGCACACACCATAAGAAAACGCCTGCTACCCGGACATGATGTTGATGGTGACTGTAATTGACGCTGGCGTCGCCATGCGCACGGAGGACGCCCGAAACCCTCAACGACCAACGAAACATGGGTAAGAACATAAGAAGCGTGCTGAGAGGGACACCCAGGTCATGTGCTTTCCCGCGGTTGACTTGTGCCGGATAATATGTGAAGGTGGAGGCAGCAGCAGGTGTGCCCAAAATTGTCACCAGGAGTCAAATCTATCAGAAGCAGTCGCCATATGGCTATAAATGTGATAAATCCTACCAAACAAAGGTAAATGAAGTCCAATGAGTCGTAAACATCATCAAACATTTCGGAAGGTTCATTCGCACGAAAGAATCATTTGCTGGTCGTGCCAAAACCCCGGTGGTTAAGGCGTAGGTCTTGGTGCGTGAATGGCTTGCGCAGCGGACTTAAGGCCGATGAGCACATTGGTTCGGTTAAATCGTAAGTCGTCGCATAAGCGGAGAAGCTGAGAACTTGTTTGGTCAGCGGCTACATCACAGCCATAAATGGTACGTAACTAAACCCATGCACCATCTGCGACATATTGGGGCAATACCTGCGTTGGAGAAAGAGCTCTCAAGGGGTTTAATCCACACATAAAAACCTCTCCACCGCTTTGCTGTCATTTTATGAAGTGCGTCGGCTACTTAGGCCATTTTGCCATGTGGCGTACATTGCTGTCTCGATCCACCTGTGTTATCTGGTGAAAATCTTCTCGCATTTGCAGACTGGCCAAGTAAATAATGGAGTTGGCACATTAAAAACGTGACAAGATGGCCTAGGTAGCCGACGCGCTTCATAAAACTAATCAGTGCCAAAAGCATGAGGCACTTACGGGATTTTATTTCGTACAAAATGAACTTGGTGTTAATAAGAATACAGGGTGTGCAGCAGATTGATCCCGTTCGTCGCAAGGTGTTGGGGCCAGCCACGATTCTTGCGACTAGTAATGAGTCTAGTTATTTTGGCATTTTATACGGCTTAGGATGTGAAGTGAACCTTGGCTGAAAACATATGTGGAAAGCACTGATCTGAAAGTGATTTGAAGAGCACTGTTTCCGGATCTGTGGTGTCAGCCCTGATATAGCATAATTTGTAGTATATTTCTGGCAAGGTCCTTGAACCCTGTCCTGAACTCCTAAAAGCTATCCTGATTAAAGCTACCCTTTGGTGTCATTTTGTGGCTCAACGGGCTCATACAGCGAAACGTCGATGTTTCCATGTGTTCTACACAAGCTCACGCTGCAAGCGTTGTCAAGGACACGCCAATTCTAAGCTGAAGGTATCGTCTAACTGAGAGGGTCATTGAACTGTGTTGTCATTTTCGCTAGCTCGTTACCAAGTAGCCCGAAAAAGCTCCCCTTTTTGTCGCCAATCATATCCTGTAAATGGGAAACTTTTTCAACGCTGATGATATCCAACAGCTGTTGTACGGGAGGGGTTTGGTTGAGCATATGCAAAAGTTGTTCCCACGAGCTCCTTTTGGCGTCACGAATGACCTGCCCAGCCTCTGCTTTAAGTTGTTTGTATTCCATTAGATGGACAGTCTGTCGACTGCGTGTAAATCGTCCAAGTGTCATTGTGCGATTTCGACAGGCGTCTTTGCATTCTTCGTTTCACCATGAGCAGCTATACCTTGTTTCCCGCTTTTTTAGCTGTGGTTTGCTTTGCGACTCTAACTAAAGCTTAAGTCAAAGTCGCAGAGTTGTCGATACCAGTCGTTTCATTGAGTTGCATATCACATTTGCCGGTAAATTCCGTTCATTTTTTATTACATCTCATCCATGAAATTGACATTTGGGTTAAGTTCGGTCGTTTGAGCCATTTCGGATGTGATATATGTTGGCCAGTGATCACTTGAGTGTATCCGTCAGGTCTATGGCGTCCATCACGCATTCCGTGCACAGCTATCCACTACGGAGGCCTCTACTGCGGGCCGCGGCTACTCCACGATGACACTGACGCCCCGCTGCAGGCGCGTGCCCGTCGGCGTCTGGCGGCTCCCACTCAGACCTCGGATGACGAACACCAGCTTCTGCGCCACTTTCGTCACGTCTGCGTCGCTTACGTCGGCGTGCAGCACCATGCGCACGTTGGAGGAGGACATGGGGAACATGTGCACCGCCACCGGCTCCCCCAGCGCCTGGATCTCCTCCGGCGGCGCCTGCACAACAGCGGTCCGTTGGGTCAGTGTCCGACCAGAGGAGAGTTTACACAGGTGCAGCAGGTATCCAGCTCCGAAGGGGTTGCATGCACAGAGTCATGCAGCAAACGCATCTACAATCTCCTACGATGTATTCTCCATCGACTAAATTGTGTGCGTTTACTACCTAAAACGACAAAGGCAACATCACATTCTCACACGCTCATAAGCTAATGTTGTAAATGTCCGTGCTGAGAACAAGGGTCCTCAACACGCTGCAAAGGCATATGAGAGGCATTTCTGCAACGAAGGCATAACAACCGGCGCATTGTCAAGCTACCATCGCGACAGACAAGTACCCTGCACTCAGCATTGATCTCTGAAGATGTATGATCGACTGTCGTTAGTTTAGCACAACCAAGACGCATCACATCATGGCGCATATGATGGTCCCCGAGACACGCCGACCGGCCGCGAGACCTGACCTCTGCGTGGCCTCTGCCTGCTGCGTGACCTGACCTCCTGCATCCTCTGGCAGAACTGGTCGGGCAGCATAACGTTCGGGTCCAGGTCCAGCAGCAGAATGTTGCTGTGCAGGTTCTCCAGGTCCACGGAGGCGCCGGGCTTCCCGCAGCTGTTGATGGCTGCGGACACCGAGCAGACGGGGCGTAACCCGCGGAACCGAGCTGGCAAGCGTAGACAATCGCCAGCTCCTCTTAAGATCGCTGACCTGTAGGACGCCACATTCAGCTCACGACTGTCAGTCAAGGTACATCTTGGACAATTTTCACGCTGATGAGACGATGGTGTGTTACACAATGCCATATGTAGCTTTGGAATGGTTGCCTCGACCATACGAGGATTTTAACCGTTATTGCAACTAATTCTGCTGACCTTGGGCGTGATATAAAGATGAGGACAAGATTAAGCCCCGTTTAGAGTTTCCACTGGAAAACTTGATTTACGAGGTGGATTTTGACGCTCTCTTTTATGTTCTTAACCACAACGATGACAAAGGACTTCACATTTGATTTCCATGAAAGCCATTGGAGGTCACTGACATAAAATTATCTCGATTTACCTTTTATGTCGAGAAGCATGCTGAAGGTGTAGTTCTTGACGCTAAGTCCTAATAAGAATGGGAACATAATATCAAAGGTTTTTGGTCATTTTGAACTTTGAAGGCCACATGAAATCACTGGCTTGACATGACTCAAAGTGATCCTTTGCTTACGTGAAGCATCAAGTTAAAGCTGGTGGCTTGAGCAGGTCTGAGGAAGCTTCAGGCACCGAGCTCTAGTTTGCCCTTGATTGACCTTATCTGACCCGAAGGTCATAACCTAGAGACATAAAAATAGCACAAACAAGTTCAAATAGAGAACTACTTGCAATGTGAATTTGGTGTCCAGCTCTGCTAGTTTTTGAGATCTCAGTGGCCCCAGCCCACTCCAACGAGTCGCATTCAACCGGTCACTCGAGCGTGTGGTAACCGAAGATCGGTCCTTTAGCTAGTGTACGGCAGAGGTCGACTAGAGTTAGGCAAACATCATAGATACGTAGCCATCACGTATAAAACCTTAAACATTAGCACATGGTCCCAAAATGGCAATTTCAAATTTATTCCGCATCGGATAATCTATTGGATAGGTTTCTTCACTCGAGCTTCATGTAAGGATACCTCGAGAAGAGGTGGCTGCTCTCCATCTCAGAGCTCTCAAGTTAGTGACCTGTGCCCTCTGCGCCTGCCGGCGGGTGGTCCTCACCTTCGGCCAGCCTCCGGGCCCGCTGGTGGTCGTCAACCAGCCGGTCACACATGACGTCCACGGCCAGAAGACCAGCGGCGGCCAGCACGCCCACCTGGCGCATACCACCGCCCAGCACCTTCCGGGTTCGGCGCGCCCTGACCGGTCACAGGCGAGGTCAACGGTCAGGTCATAGTCAGGGTCATGGGTCAGGTCACACAAGAGGTTATGGGCTAAGGCACACGCGCGGTCATGGGTCGGGTCATTCGCGGGGTTACGGGTTAGGCCACACGCGCAGTCACGGGTCGAGTCACTCGCGGAGTCATGGGTCAGGTAACACTATGATTTATGCTATGTTTTGTGATGTTCTGCACCAGGACTCTACCATGATGCATCTAGAGCCCGATCCGTGCTGCACCACTGCTCCGTTTGTGTGGCTGATCATAAAGTTAGGCACTTTATCTCGGCGGGAGAGCTGAAGCGCGGTTTGGTTGCTGAGCGTGCAGCGACGTGTTATCTCGGCGGGAGAGCTGAAGCGCGGTTTGGTTGCTGAGCGTGCAGCGACGTGTTATCTCGGCGGGAGAGCTGAAGCGCGGTTTGGTTGCTGAGCGTGCAGCGACAAGTTATCTCGGCGGGAGAGCTGAAGTGCGGTTTGGTTGCTGAGCGTGCAGCGACGTGTTATCTCGGCGGGAGAGCTGAAGCGCGGTTTGGTTGCTGAGCTTGCAGTGACGTGTTTCGGGCTTCCACCGCTCTCAACAACACCAGCTCATCCTCTGGCCCTCACTGCTTGATGAACTGCGCTGAGCCGACGATCAGCGAGCCCACCGGAGCCGACAGCGACTTGCTCAGGCACAGCGTGCTGGAAGCAAATCCGCGGAGAATCCGCGACATCGGCACACCTGGCGGCAGAGACGGAAACTGATGGGAACAGCTTTATCTAAGACTGCGTTTCTTGCCCAAAACTGGGATGCAATGGATGAACAAATGGATTTTTTACATGCATGCAGGGACCGGCAGAGGGGGCAATTGTGCCGTCAGCAGGGGGGGGGGGAGCAGAGGGGGGGGGGGCAGTTCCTTCCCCCTGCCTTCTGGCAGGGGGCGGAGGCAAAGAACATGTTTTGCCCCTCAAACATGTTGGGAGTCCCTTTTCACCAAACTAATGGCACTGTAGCTATCCGTATATTACCAACATGGGCCATGATCTTCATCAGTAGCGCCCATATTGTGTTGAATGGAATGCTCCACAAGTGAATGGAATGCTCCAAAAGTGAATGTAATGAGGCAAGCATCAGATATTATGAAACAAGCTCACTTATAACTATTGGTATACGTTTGAGGTAGAAAAGGCTGCTCTGACAACACTCTTTCTCTGTTTAGTAACTATGCTTCTCAATGTGTCATTGTTTGATTACGTCATCGCACCTTGCATAACACTGAGAGCCACTTGATGGCCGTGATATCTGGAAATTGTGCCTACGAACGCCAGATATGAGCGACTCGACAATGACATTTGGTCTTGATCACCACGTGGGAAAAGGAACGGCAGGACTTGAATGTCATTATTATGGCATCATAGATGCCTGGTTGGCCTTGAAATAGAAATAGCGGGAGTGCAGCCCAGAAACTAGAACGGTTCGGGTTTAAGAAGGGCAGGGCTGTGTGCTGCACTAAGTGATCTTCCAGATGGCTATTTCAGTCCAAACCCCATACAAATGTGGAGCACTCACTTAAGGGAAGCTCTTTGCAGGCTTGGGAGGCACTCGTTGCGAACTAGAAGGCCCTGTTCTGGGTCCGGAGGCACCCTTTATATGCAGGAGGTTCCATTTATGGAGCAGGAGACCCCTTTCGTGCATCATGCCGTGTGTCTGGATCAGGATGCCCGTTTTGGGACAATGAGGCCTCTTAATCAGATTTGGAGGCCTCTCCCCCCCCCCCACCCTTCGTGAATCAGAAAACTTTCTCTTCTGGATTATAATGTTCTCCATGTATCAGAGGGCCCTTTTCTGGCCCTGTTTTCAGGAACCCCCATTTTAGGAAAACAATACCTTGGGCTGGAAAAGAAAAAACTCCGGCATTCTGGATGATTAGAACGCCCCATTCTGAATTGTTTATTGTCGACATTTATACACTTGGATATGATACACGCGACAATTTTATAAGGGGGTTCATGCCTTGGTGTTTCTTTCCTTTGAATACGACACCGCTCAAGGGCTCCTCTTCCCCTGTGAGGAGGTCCTTATTGTCCATGACGTCCGCCTAGAAAATCTTGCCCTCCAAGCCCCAAATCCATGGCGGTGCCCTTGCATCCATGTATGGGGATCCGAACAGGAAAACCTAGGAAGATTGGTGCCAATATTTCTCCGGGCAGCTTTAAAGCACGGTCGCACATGCCAAGAGCTGACCTAGAAGCGGGATTTGGTTCTCCCGCATTTTAGGACGTTCTCCCGAATTGCCCCCGTTCGAGCCTGCGCGTATACGTTGAGTGAACATTTCAGTAAGCATATGGTACGACATATGCTGCTACGTGACCAAGTAAGTGGCATGATACAGTCACCTCGCGATCAATCGTGGACGAATCGATGAAAGAAAGAAAGAATCGATGTTCGAGGTCGTGGAGAAAACAACACCATATCGATACCACCCCGTGTGTTTCGCATTACCGCGTAATGAAGGACTATGTGTGGCATTGCGTATATCACAGTGGTCTCACCCAGTGCGGCGGCAGCGTTGGGTAGTCGGGCGCCGTCCATGTGCAGAGGTACTCCCACCTCCTTCGCCAGAGCCACCACCTGCAACACACGCCTCATTCATTGAGAAGTCTCCGGAAGAGAAGCCTTACTCGCCTTCGAGAAATTGAATAATCGAGTCTAAGCTTAAAAAGAAGTAAGGTTTATTGATTTTCTCCAAAAATTATATTTCTATTACACACACACACACACACACACACACACGTATATATATATATATATATATATATATATATATATATATATTTCTATTCATTTGTATTAAGTTACAGGTTTCTTTATTTCGACTTTTTAATACATGTGATCATTTTCAATTCTCTATTTATCTGTCCTTAAACTTTTAACTATCTGCTTTAGCTATATACTTGTTTTAAGCAACAAATTACGACAGGCCACGTCTTAGTCCGTACACCCGCGAAGCCAGCTTCTTTGCATCGCTCGCAACTCTCCCCTACATGAAACCTCAGCGGATGTGGACGACAACGGACCTGATCCAGGTAGTCCAGCGGTAGCACCTTGCCGCCGCAGTAGTTGTGCGTGTTCTCCAGGCAGATGAGCTTCGTGACCGGGTAGTGGACGTCCTCGGAGCGCACCTTGGCGCGCAGCAGGTCCGGGTCGATGGTGCCGTCGGGTCGGTTAGGCATCACTCGCGGGTGCACCCCTGCGGCGACACCAGTGGTGTTAACAGCGGATCGCACGGGTCGCATTTTGTGACCTTTTCAAAACGTGAAATGACGGTCACGATACAAAGTTTGAAGGTTTTAGTGTCCAACTTTAACTGTCCAACTTCAAGTCTTCATTTACCTTTGAGTCATCTTCCCTGTGGGTCAGAAGCGTCCTGCGCTATTGTGTCCACGCCCTTCAGTTACCAAAGAAGTTGTTTCCTAGATAGCAGATGACATCGTCGTCACGGTCCACTACTTTCTAAGCTTCACGCGTGGTGAGTAGACAAAAAAAATCGTCATTCTGTTGTGAAATTCTGACATTTCTGAATGAAAAGCCGAAACTCCTGAAAAAGTTACTCGAAGTCTCCGCAACAGGGCTCGCACAAGATGGCGGGTCTGTTGTTTTGTTGGCGCAAGGCAATCTGATGAATTATGCGGGAGCTGAAGAGCGACGCGCAAAAGTTCGTAAAAAAAAATAAACGAAAAAAGTGATGTGAGAATCTCCCACTCTATACGTGGTTTGTGACTAGGGAAGCTATTCCATTTGTCGATATGTTCCTGTGTAAAAAGCGCTTCTGCTGGGAGCTCTTGCGCGGCAGTGCGATGCGAGAGGCGATGAAAGGAACAGCGGATCGGCAAACGTAAAGGATAGGTTTGATCGTGGATCTGGGCATCGGTGACGATGCTCTGGCCATTGCCTTTCAGACAAGAGGACAGGTGCTAACCAACTAATGAAGAATCGCCTGCTATAAACGTCAGCAGAAGTGTTCAGCTGAATAGTTATGCATTCTTGGCGGACTGGGCTCAACCTGGAATGTAACTGCACGCCTCCATCCCCAGAGCTCGCTTGGTTAGAACATTTGCCTTCCGATTCGCCCACCGTGGTGGGGTGGGTTTAATTCTCTTTCAGCTAAGTGGTCCACATTTGTATGGGGTTTTGAACTAAAAAAGCCACCTTGAAGATCATACGGTGCAGTTCATGGCACTGTCCTTTTAATGCCTAACCTCCTCTGGTTTATGAGTTAAGCGACCGCGAAGATGTGCAGACTATTCCCTCGATACTATTTCAACGTCACCCAAGCATATATAACGCCATAACGTCATTCCAATCCTGGCATTCCATTTGCGATGCAGCGATTAAGGCCAGGATAAATATAACTGTCGAGTCGTTCATATCTCGTGTTCGTGAGCACGATTTTGATATCAACACGCGCTCGGGTGAGGGTCGATTTGACCCCCCCCCCCCCCCGTAAGATGTTTCCGGAATGGATTCCGAATATGGCGTGGCGTAGCCACGTGCAATTTTACATAGCCGTAGAAAAATGAATAGCGCGTCGTTTGGTGCCAAAATTTAAATGCACCTTGTGAGATCAGTGACCTACAGCAGATCAAAGTCAGGCCATCGACTTAGCTGAGTCGAATCTTTCAACCTGATGCAGCAACGGAGTTAGACGAAGCCACGCATTGCTCTGAGATACTTACGTAAGCAACACAACAACTAAAAGAGCCAATTCCATCGCCCTATATGGTCAGGTAGAAAGGTCAGGCCAAGGTCAAAACCAAGCTGTTTTATTACTGTAGGGCTTGTTGTGTGCGGTAATCTCTGTTACTCATTCCAAATTTATTTATTACAGGAACTGCATTATACATATTTCATTAACTATTTTAAGGACAAAATAGGCCACTGACTTAAAATGACCTTCTCAACTCTTGTTTTTAGGAGCATACTGCCTAGCGTAATATTTGCCACTTATTCAATGACAAACTCGAAGCCGTTTTGTATGAATCTGGTCCCCATGACCTTGGAAATGTAAAATGAGGTTACTGACTTGAAATTAGCGTATGACATTTTGCTTAGAACAGGTATCTATGTTCTGGGTGCACTTTGGACACCAACCTGGAGTTCGACGTTTTTTTACCTTAGGTGACCCAAATGTCATGAATTAGAAACCTCAAACTTTGACCCAAGTGAACTCACGTATAAGGCAATGTACTTTGTGGATTTGGTGCCTCCAGCTCTCCTAATTCTTAGATTCCAGGGGGTCTAATTGACCCCCACCCGAACGAAGGGTACCGAACCGGCCACCCGGGCACGTGCTGACAGCCGTCAATTGGCTCTCAATCCTTGTTTTGCAAGGTACGATGACGTATTCAAACAATGGCATGTTGAGGAGCACATTAACTAAACAGAGAAGCCGTGTTTTTAAAACAGTTTTTTCCGCTTAAAGCACCAATAGTCATAAGTGAGCTTATTTGGTTATATATGATGCTGGCTTCAACGCCTTCCAATGTGGTATATTCCCTTTAAGGCGCTCGTTATTTGGCCATGACTGGAATGGCCTGCGGCCGGTGGCAGCAGCTGCATCAAATGTCAGCTGACCTTAGAGGGCAGGACGGGACGTGTCGAGCATTGCTTTCATTTACGGCATGTTAATTTCTCGTCGCAAGATTCTGCCGTCGATTGGGAAGTTCCTGCCTGGATCGGAGCGGCAGAGGTCGCGTGACTGTTTAGCCTAAATGCTGATCCAATAAAGCCAGCCGATCCAAAAACGTCGACTGAATCTTTAAGAAAAACAAATTTAAGTATAATGATGCACAGCGTTGTGCTAGTTAAGAGCACTGGACCATCTCAACTTGTTCAGTCTGTATATGCTACTATAATCTGGAAGCAGACCAGCTGTGCAGCGCCAACATTGTTGACGTGCGGGACGTCTGTGGACCCTGAAGTCCTGTGGAGCGGTGATGACCTCACAATACAGAGGCACCGGGCGCCGGGCGGGCGGTGCCTGATGAGGCACCGGGCGCCGGGCGGGCGGTGCCTGATGAGGCACCGGGCGCGGGGCACGCGGACTGGCGGCCTGTTTTGGGCGCACGTCGAAGGAAGGGGTGCCTGAAACTGGCGTGATAATGGATACGAGCGTCGCGGTGGGCACGCCGCTTTGCCCGACTGTCGAAGAAGTCTTCTGGCAACGGGCCAACGGGGCCAACTTGCCCCTGTGGCCATGTTGGAGCAATGAAGGGTACGTAGCCCCCGTACGTAACAAAGGAACATTGGGCAAAGTCATGGCAAAAGATGCCCATGAGCTAGATGAGCATATCTTGGGCCCCGGCATTGGCAGATATGTCACAAGCTCCGCTTAGCACAAGTGCTGTGAACACAAAACCAGCCGTGAAAATCTTTCAATGGTATATTTCTTAGCATGGGAGAGATGGAATAGAGAAGATGGAGCTTTGAAGACGCAAAAAGAAGCAGAACTGCGGGGAAGCGAAAGGGGGGAGCAGGGGGATAAAATGGAGTGTTCTCAGTAACAAGGGCAAGGCCCTTATGCGACGCTGCAGTTAGAGCAAAGGGCAAGACTGCTTATTGCAATGAACGACAGGGAGGGTCACTCAGAGGGATCCATTCTCGGGTAGAGCTTCTGCGCATGACATCTGACCGGAGGGAATCCACAAAACAACTCAAGGTGGGAGAAACGCATGGTTCATAGTTGAATCACGTGACAGGTGACGGCTTCCTGGTCGGTAGAAATATGCCACTTGTTGGAGAGGCAATAAGGGAGATGATACGACAGTGGGAAGCACACCACATAGAACAAAACAATTGACAGCGGAGAAATTCAACGCGACAGTGGACACAAAGAGATGCAAACCAGGCGCAGTAATAATATGGTTTGTATAGAGTGCGGCTCGAAAAAGTTCAATTGTGGCATCAATATGGCAGGGGTCTGTTAAGAACGATACATTAATGTTTACAAGTCCCACCTAAATCGCATCTTGTTATTGTCCATCTACGGCGTCTTCGTTGTGAGCATTACTGTAATGCTGGGGACCAGAACTGGTGTCCTTCCCAGTTCGGTACAGTGGTCTCCTTTGCTCGCCGCTGCGAGTGGTGCAGCGCCAGCAGCTGTGCAGGAGCAGTTATAAGCGGGGCGGGGAAGTGAGGGGGGGGGGGGACGACAACGATGTTCATGCGCAGACATTACCGGCAACAGTGGCGCAGCCGCCCTGCTCATACAGATGGATGTGACACTTGTCTCCCACGATGATCTCGCTGTCTCTGGCCGTGCAGTGACACATTACTGTGGACAGAGACGGCGCACAGACTCAGGCCCAGGTTCATGGAATAACAAACGTGACAATGGACGGAAACGACACAGAGACCCATGTCAGGGAAAACCGATGCAACAGACCTAGATCACGAAAAAACAAAAAGTTTATACGCGCAACGCTATCAGAAGAAGTCACATTGAAAGAGTGAATAGAATAGTGACTATTGTGAGAGATAATTTGTGGACGAATACAATTGAAGTGACTGCCCTACTTTTAAGTGTGCCAAATGCTGATACTGCGGAACCGTCAACTAGAATGCAAATTTCTCGACTGCATTACTTAAGGCGTTGCATAGTGCCTGAGACTACGGAGTTCGGAGGCTGTACCGTGTTCCACGACACACGATCGGAGTCGGTGTGTGTTCGGCGGTTCGGAGGCTGTACCGTGTTCCACGACAC